TTAAAAATATTTTCTCTTATAAAAACATTTTGTTTGTTGTCATTAAAACTTGAAATCTTAAGGGGTCCAAGATCATCTTTTGACTTAACAACTTTTAATGATCCTATAGATGCAATTGCTCGAAACACATCCCGATTTATTGGAAAGATACAAAGATGAAGAATTATTGAAGTTTAAAGCTATTTTGGCATCAAAAATTGAGGTTGTTAATCAAATTAATGACTATGCTCTATCTATGATTCCAGGTATTGCTTTTCATATTTTGATTCAAAATATGTCATATAGAGTTATAACACTAAATACAATTTTAGTTGTTACTTAGTGAATTATATTGAACTCAATTGATTTTAGGTGATGGAAAAGAATATCTGAGTTTAGATTCGATTAACAAGCCTGAAACAATTGAAAGTCAAACATTTGAGGCACTTACAAGTGAATTTTTGAACTCTCTCAGAACTTCTAGTCTTCCTAATAATAAGATAAAACTCAAGGTTGGAACGCAAATCATGTTATTAAGGAATATAGATCAATCTGAAGGCTTATGCAACGGTACTAGGTTGGTCATCACAAGACTAGCTAATCATTTCATTGAAGGAAGAGTTATAACTGACAAAAGATTAGGAAACATAATCTACATACCTAGGATGTCATGTCTCCTTCTCAATCTCCATGGCCATTTCAACTTATTAGAAGAAAATTTCCTATCATTGTCTCATATGCCATGACAATCAATAAATCACAAGGTCAGTAATTGAAACATGTTGGATTATACTTGTCTAAACCACTCTTTAGCTAAAGATAGTTATATGTGGCAATTTCTCGTGTTTAGTCTAAATTTGGCAGAAGATTTTAATCCATGACAAAGATAGAAAACCATTAAAGACAACCAATGTTGTCTTCAAAGAGGCCTTCCAAAATTTATAACAGGTATTATCTACCTAATCCAAAACTAACTACAATATAATATTTGGATTATGTTTGGTATCAATCTTTACTTTTCTTAACATGATTTTTTTTTTATTAAAAAAATCAATTAACTTGTAATGACCTTTCCCGTTTGAATATGCATTATGTTTAATCTTTTACTCATTTGAATCTTAAATAAAAATTGTTTTAATAATCCTATCTAATGTATTCAATTATTACAAGTTGTTATTGACTATATTAATCTGATACATATTTATAATGTATGGCAGATTACCAAATTTAATGCACCACATTAATTATCACATCTTTTGATAAGCTTTTATTATTATTATTTATTTGTAGGATTAAATATGTTGCTGCAAGATTGAAGTGTGACCACAAAGAATTTTTTGGATAAATGTTATTTACTATATGATGTTACTTCATCCATGTTGAATTTTCATACCCAATTTTAGTTTTGTCCTTTTGATAAGGTTTACAAAGAACAATACTCTTTTGTTCTCATTAAATATAAATGTCCTATATCAATATTTATTTTAAAAGGTTTACTAAGAAAAATAATATTCAAACCACTATAGACTTGTGCATTTATACAAGTTACTTACTAGTATAGATAAAAATTTAAAAAATAAAATAAAAATTTAAGAGCAGTTGTGGGTGATTATTTACAAAATATGAGATTTTTTTGAGGTATAATAGTTCACTAACAGTGAAGACTATAAATAGTTACATTTTTTGTATCCACTTTATTAGAGCTGTCAAAATGGGCTTGGCCTGGTGAGCCAACCCGGCTCACCACGGGTTCGAGCTGGGTTGGGTTAAAAAAAATTTGAAAATTTTAATGCGGGTCAAATTTGAACCCGGCTCACCCGGGTTGAACCCGTGGTGAGCCGGGTTGGCCCACCAACCCGTGATTAAATTTTTTTTTTGAAAAAAAACAATAATTATTGGGTCATGGTGCAGTCCAACATGAAACAATAATAATTTAATGTTGGATTGGATTTGTAATTTTTATGATTTTGGATTGTATTTGAAGTTTAAGATGATTTTGGATTATATTTGAAGTTTAAGATGATTTTGGATTATATTTATCTATTTGAGTTTAGGATGAATGATTCATTTATGGATGTCTTAATTAAGTATCTCAGATTTTTAAAATAAATTTAAATTTTTGGACTTTAGTTGTATATTAAGAAAATAAAAATAAAAAAAATTATTTTTTTTAAAGGTGAGCCAACCCGTTTAACCCACCAACTCGTGGTGGGCCGGGTCGGACTTGATTTTTTTGAGCTCACTGATAAATGAGTCGGGTTGGGTTGGCCCACCAAATGGCCAACCTGTGGTGGGCCGGGCCGGGCCGGGTAGCCCGTTTTGACAGCTCTACACTTTATAATATGTATGTGTATAGATGTATAGATAAAAGTTAAAAAAATTATAAAAATAGTAATTTAAGACTGGTTATGGATGATTATTCATGAAATATGAGATTTTTTTTTCTTAAAGGTAAAATGGTCTACTAAAAATAGACATAAAAAATAATTACACTTTTCCGTATCTCTTTTATATATATAGATTATATATTTATAAATTAATTAATATTTTAAAATAAATTATAAATAATTAAAAATAGTTATAATATATATATATATAACTTATATGGACTAAAATACTAAATTTCATAACATGTACTCATCAATGAAAACACTTTCCCCTGAATTAGTTTTAAAAGAAAGAAAATTAAAAAATAAAACAAAATCAATAGAAGAGTGCATTTAGTAAATAGAGCGAATTCGTTTAGCAATTGTTGATAAAGAAAGAAAATGGAAGAGAAACATCTTGATCCAACTGAGGGTTTATGGATTAATGATTGGGCCGGGCTTAGTTTGAGATTCAAATTGGAAAGAGCGTAATCGAAGTGTGGAGAGAGTTGAGAGGTGCGTTAGCGTTAGGTTAACGCATTCAATACAAAACACCGAACTTGAAACCCTTCCAATATAAACCCTCGCTTGTTTGTGTGCTCTTTCATACTCTTTGTGTTAGATCACTTGCTCTGCTCTTCAAGCAAACGCAGCATCATACTCACCATTCCATGGTACGCTCTCTCCTTTCAATTTCAACACTTTCTTTTCAATTCTAGTCAGGCGTTCGATTTACTCTTTATCTTTTGCGTTGCAGGCTTTGCCCAATCAGCAAACCGTGGATTACCCCAGTTTCAAACTCGTAATTGTCGGTGATGGTGGCACAGGTAATCTTTTATTCTTTTTGAATTTTTCAGCAATGGTTATGTCAATTGCTTGACGATCTAGGTTATACCTTGGTATATGAGCTTTATTATCGTGTTGAACATTCGCAGGAAAGACGACTTTTGTGAAAAGGCATCTCACTGGGGAATTCGAGAAGAAATATGAGCGTAAGGTTCATTTTTAATTAAGGATATGATGTGTGCCTAAATGCTCATCTTGTTCCACCTATGAATATATTCTTTTTCTCGATATTGCTTGTCCTAAACAGCAACCATCGGTGTGGAAGTTCATCCATTGGATTTTTTCACAAACTGTGGAAAGATTCGATTCTACTGCTGGGATACTGCTGGACAGGAGAAGTTTGGTGGCCTTAGAGATGGATATTAGTAAGTTATTTGGTCTCAGTTTTTTGCTTAACAGATTGCGTTTGTTATGACACAAGCTTAACAGGGGTTTTCACTCTCAAGTTGTTTTTCATGGGTATTAAAATGTATAATTGGTTAATTCCGTTTGATTCCATAGGTTTTATCAGTATCAGAGTTGGTGGTGTTGTTTTGCATGGCAGTTGCCTTTTTAGTCTTATTTCTATTAGGATGTCTGTGTTAGATATATAGATATTCTAGAATTTTAAAACTGTTATGAAATATTTTACTTGTTCCACTGGAAATTTCTGTCCGAGTAGAGTCTATTATTCTTCTGTGATACGAACAATTTTCAACTTTCCTTGTGCCTCCAATCTGCTCTTTGTCTAATGCTAGTAATATTGTGTTTGCAGTATCCATGGGCAATGTGCAATTATCATGTTTGATGTTACTGCTCGTCTAACGTACAAAAATGTCCCTACATGGCACCGTGATCTTTGTCGGTTCGTACATCCTTGTAGCATTTTTGGTGGTTGTGTCTCTTATTTTTTGGCTATATGTTGTTTATAACATGGGTAACATCTGCCCAACTGATTTTTTCAGGGTCTGTGAAAATATCCCTATTGTTCTCTGCGGAAACAAGGTTGACGTTAAGAACAGGCAAGTGAAGGCAAAGCAGGTTACTTTCCACAGGAAGAAGAATTTGCAGTACTATGAGATATCTGCTAAGAGCAACTACAACTTCGAAAAGCCTTTTCTGTATTTGGCCAGGAAACTTGCAGGGTAGAGCCTGAGTTTCTACTTCATAATTTATACATAAGAAGTCAGAACACATAAAACATTTAAAAGCACAACTAATTGTTTGCCACTTGTGTCAATTTTGCAGCGATCCTAACTTGCACTTCGTAGAATCTCCTGCATTGGCTCCACCTGAAGTTCAAATTGATTTAGCTGCACAACAACAGTAAGCTATCTTTCATGAACAAAATTTTCTCCTCCGCTTCCATCAACCTTGTGCTTGATTTATTACTGGCATGATAAGAAAAAGGTAGATTGTACATTTGCAAAGTTGCGTTTGGAATTAAAAAATCCTTTCTAAAAGTGGATTGTCACAATCAATAATGATACGGAGGTGAGGTAAATGGTAAGGAAAAAAAAGTGATTTGGGGTGTTAGGAGGGGGAAGACCTTGTTTTTAATAAAGATATAGAATGAGAACTGTTTCCCATACTCTTACTTTCTACTATGCCAACTTAACATTAAACAAAGTGAGTTAATTGACCGTCCATCCATCCCATTCATGATTGAAAATGTTCATTTTAGATTTCCTATATTTATGCATTGGTGGCTTTTGCAGGCATGAAGCTGAGCTTGCTGCAGCTGCTAGTCAGCCCCTTCCTGACGATGATGATGACACTTTTGAGTAGAGGACTTGTGTGTTTGTGGACTGTCTTCTTGAGTGCTGGTATTTCAATACTATTGTATGTGCTTTTGGGGGTTGTATTGGTATTTTTGGATGTGAATTCGATGATCTGAATTCAATCATTATGATATTTGGTTTACCTAAAATTGAAAATTACCCTTAACTAAAGATATTTCATATCACTTTGGCTTTAAAATATGCCTTTTGCGTGTCTGATCGAGCTTAAAAAGTTGAGGAATGGTTGATTAAACAATTTTTTTTTTCTTTTAATATTAGGGGCCTCACGAAGGTGGGGGTATTGGTAACTGCTGGAGGGTAGGGTAAGAACGAAGGCTGTGTTGAGTTCGATCCTACTTTTAGTTTATCCCGAAGCAGGATGCAAATTGGATGGTTTTGGTTTCTATAATTCTTTTTTCTTACGGGTAAGAAGTACAATGATCGCAATAAAGTTTGAATATTTAATATATGTCAATACTATCTCAATTCCTCCATGTTGATTCTAGTGGCTCGGGTTTCTGTAATTGTATTTAAATCGTTTTACGTTTTAAGCAGTGTTTTAAAACCCGGACCGACCCGGCCGGTTGGACCGGGAACCGGTGGTCCAGCCGGTTCGAATATGAAGTTGGATCGGTTATGCAGTTGACCCGTTTCAAACCGGATTGAACCGGTCAATTTTCTGGTTTAACCGGTGAACCGGTGGGTCAAACCGGTTCAACCACTTTTTTTTCTTATTTTTTTTTAAATTTTTTTAAGGGACCATAAATCACAAAAATAATAATGAAAATTGAATCTCTTAATGAAAAAGCAAGGAGTCTTATTAAATATAACAATGACTACTTGTTCTAATATATTTGTTTGCAATATATACAACTTAAATAACTTTTATAGTATATTATTAATTTTAAATTATATATTTAATAATGCAATATCTATGTAAATATTACATATATTATTTTGTGATATTAATTGCAAGCATATTATATATGTACATATTATTTATATTTTTAATTTGTATTAATATACCGTTTAACATGTAATTTTTTATGTATTTTTTTACAAAATAAAAATAAAAATAATTTTAAATAAGAGAAAAATTGAAATTTAAAATAAGATATGAATTTATTAAAATTTATAAGTATAAAATATATTTAATATAAATATTTTTTAATAAAAATCGAGTCATGCGGTTCAACTAGTGACCTACCGGTTCAACCTTTGACCTACTGACCCAGTACCTTAACCGGTTCGATGACCGGTCCGGTTTTTAAAACTATGGTTTTAAGTGATTAGTGTTATAAAATATATATCACTTGATATATTGTAGTGGTGTCACTCGTTATCAGATCTACCTACTGTATATAAAAAAATCAACGTGGTTAAAGTAATTCTAAGCAATGTATAAGTGCACGAAATCTAGTTTTCTGCTGTGATTCGATACTTGCTAGAGTAGGGGTTGCCGGTGCCATGCTGTGGTGTACTATTGTAAGTGATTCGATAATTGTGGAATCCATGAAGTTTTTAGGGTCTGGTTACATGATAACACCAAACAAGTAACGTGGTTGACATAACTCACACTTATACAAGTATGGTCTTAACGTGCATCACGCATCTACATAACTCACTTATACAAGTATGGTCTTAACGTGTATCACGCATCTACATAACTGACACCTATAAAAGTATGGTCTTAACGTGTATCACGCATCGCAAGACATAAAACTTGATATAATTTGAGAGAATTTTTATTAAGTGATCTTATCAACATTGTTTAAACATAAAGAGTGTCTTTCATGATATATAATTATACATACACAAGGTGTCTTTCATGATATATAATTCTATGTACAAGGTGTCTTCAATACATTTCACAAATATATAAGGTATACATTTAAAAGTTATAGGCTTTAAAACTATCTAAGGTCATTAGGAATAGAGTAATTGTATAGGTAATTATTGAGTCACCAATGAATCATGTTGAGGGGTGAGTAGGAGACATATTCATCCCTTGCAAAATATGACGTATGTCTTTGGACTTTGGCTATCAGTATAATGACATGTGAAATAAGTGTGGTTATACAAATGAGTTAACATATAATATTGAGTTTATTTGTGATTGAATATTTATTTAGGTATTGGAAAATAGATAATCAAATTAAATGAGAATAACACTTTTATGTTTCGGATTGGATTAAAACATATAGACAAAAGGATAAATTAGTTTATGATAACTTTGGTTGTGGAAGGTTATAATTACATTGCTAATTTTCTCATTGATTAGGTGATAATAATGTATTATTATTGTTTATAATGTTTAACATTATATTAGATATTATATTAATATTATTTTCAATTAATTGAGAACCTATAAAGGTATATACATTGAGTAGATAAATAGAACAACTAATTAAATTAAATGATTTAAATAAGATTTATTAATTAACAAAAGATATAATTAACGATTCAATCAAATTGTTATATATTTAGATTTGTAGTGGGTAAAACCAATGTTTTAAGATTTGTCGTGGAAAGCTATTTTTTTTTTTGATAGGCAAATGTTAGTAATTAGTAATTAGTAGTTATCTCCGTTGGGTCCTAGGGGGACTCGAACCTCCGTCCTTCCTTATCCCTCCAGCCCCAGGACCACCTCCTTTACCACCAGACCACCTTATCACTCCTATTAGGTTTTTGTAATCCAAACATAGGTTGTTGATTAAAGCATACTACAAGAGGTAAATTTAAACCTTATGTAACTCTTGTGTACTGTGTGATCCAACAGAATGAGGTGTTTTTCCACTCATGATTTCCGTGAAAGTTTACTTTAAAATTACACCCCTTGGAAATCCAACAATGCGGAGAGGATGGTGTTTGGTATCATTCTAATAGTTTTGGTGAACTCTAATAGAAGTGTTTTCTACAATGTGATACTTATCTTTGACTTCTTTTCTACTAAGCTAATTTTATCAGGTAACTATTGTGCTTTATAATTACTCATTTCATTTAAATGAATAGCTTATTGACTTGAGGAATGGTTATGCACTAACATAAAAATAAGGTCACATTATTTGGGGCTTTACCAAATTTATTTATAGTTCTGATAATTTAAATTTTCTGATTATTATATTGAAGAAATTTTTACTTAATCATTATTATTGAATACTAAGAGTTTTCTTAACTTGGTTTTTAACTTTTAAACAAAGGTTAAACTTAAGCCTACTAAAGTCTAACCTAACCTTTGTCTACCCCTAATCATCATTGATGTTCTAGTTAACATTGTTATCAATTGTTGGCATCAGAGTCATTAGTTTTATTGTAGAGTCTCATGTTATCCCTCATGTTATTTAAGTCCTTATTGGCTTCCCCACGAGGGTTCACGCCTCTGTTACCAGTTTTATCTTTGTTTTGGTCATTCTTTTTCGTTCTTGTTGCAAGTACATCTTTTGTACAAGAAACAAACTTTGGATAAAATTTAATATCTCAATAAATATTACAAAGGAAGAAAAATACATTTTTTTCTTCTTTGAATTGATTTAATTGCAACTTCTAATATGAAATTCATAGGCATTACATTTGGTCCTTATTATAAGAAATGAATTATAGTGTTTCATTTCTTATATAAAGGAGTAGAGATGGTATCATTAAGAAATAATACTTTGAAGTACAATATATACTTCAACATCAGATCTTCTCAATTGGTTGAACATCTGAGGATAGCACATCTACGTAAACACCAAATTAAGATTACTTAGTTTGATCAGTAAACTAAAATCACCATTGAGGTCGAATTACCTAATTGGTAATTGGGCATCAAGCATATAGGCCCAAATAGGATGTAGATATGAAGGTAGGTATTGTTCATTAATGCATTGTTCACACATTTAATAAGTATTTATTACTCTATATTAAACTCTTACTCGAGTGTCGAAGTGTCTTTATAAGTACGTCAACCTCCTAAAGATCCTAGTTACTTCTTACCAAAAGATAAGATTAAGAAAAAGAGAAGATAGTATAGTTAATTTTGTAGCCTTAGGGATGGACATTTTGGCTCTCATCGTGGGGCCAAGAAAAATACAATTGAAGGCCCAAAACATGGTAATTACTAGAAGCAATCTAGGGATTTCAACCCAAATACAAGCCAACCTGATAATGCTAACTAGACCACCCTCGAAAATGAGTCATACGTAGATGTGGAGGATTGTCCAAACCTCTCCTTAATAGTACGACAATTGAGAGATGAGATGGTGATCTTGCACCAATAATTGGACTAGAACTTACATAAGTTGTTGTTATTACGGTTAAAGAACACCAAGTGCAGACTCAAACGCAGCCCAACCAAAATTCACCCTTCTAATCTAATAGAAATAACAAATATCAACTACCACCACCAACACCTTGGCAAGGTCCAACTGTCACCATTTCCTCTTGTGATTTATGGAGACTCCCTTGCCTAATAATTGAAAAGCTCAACTTTTGATAGGTATGACGACACTACAGTCTTCGAAGACTACATAAACATCTATGTCACTTTGGTTGGCCTATGTGCCACTGATAACAAGGGGTGGGTAGATGGTCCCATGTTTGTGGGTCGGTTTTTTAAGCCCACAGACCTCGCAGTTAACAAACCATTTTATTTTCAAAATCGTATAACAATGTTTAATTTTTTAGCTCAATCCGTGGACTTGACAAACATAATTGATAGGCTCGTAGGCTAGCCTATGAACTTCACCAATTAAATTTTAAGATATTAAGACTTTAATATTTGGGTGTGTATTTGGACTTTTAAATCATTATGACGTTAAAACTATGTTTAGTTGATGTATATGTGTCATTTGGAATATTTTGAAGACATTTTGATACTTTTTTTATTAAAAGTTTGAGACTATATATAAATATAAATAATACTTTTAGTCTTAACACTATAATATTTAATGTTTAAGACCATTCTAAATATTGATAAATTTTAGTGTGATGGATTTTAGTTTAAATTTTTTTTCTTCAAATTATATAGATAAATATTAAATATCCCTTTTCAAAAATATTTATCGACGGGTTTGGCAGGTCAGATATGAACTTGAAAAAAATATTTATTTTATAGATCAAACTTGTCTAGTTCGTTTAAAATGTAGGTTTTGTGGGCCAAACATTAAACAAGTCAGACCACCCTTATTGGTAATGCAGTCCTATGCCGCATTTTTTGTACC